TATATATAATATATATGATATATATATATATAATTCATATATATATATATATATATATATATATATATATATATATATATATATATATATATATAATTCATATATATATATTATATATTATATATATATATATATATATATATATATATATATATATATATATATATATATTATGTGTATGTGTATGTGTATGTGTATGTGTATGTGTATATGTATATGTATATGTATATGTATATGTATATGAATATGAATATGAATATGAATATGAATATGAATATGAATATGTATATATATATGTATATGTATATGTATATGTACATGCATATGTATATGTATATATATATGTATATATATATATATATATATATATATATATATATATATATATATATATATATATATATATATATATATATATATATATATATATATATATACATGTATATATATATATATATATATATATATATATATATATATATATATATATATATATATATATATATACATGTATATATATATATATATATATATATATATATATATATATATATATATATATATATATATATATATATATATATATATATATATATATATATATATATATATATATTATATATTATATATTTATATATTTATATATTTATATATGTATATAAAATTTACATTATATGTATTATATATATAAATATATATATGTTATATATATATATATATATATATATGAATATCAACACATATGTGCACATATAATATGTATATAATTAAATAAATCTAGCATTAGCCCTCAATTGATCAATTACCTATTGAAATGAAGTGTATCAGAATTACACAAACCATTTTGTACTGCTTTTTGTTTTGTGTGTTTCACCTCAGTCATTAATGTGTAGTTCTGATAAATAATGAACACATTTCATTCCAAAATATATTTGGTAAGTATAATTCTTTTTGTTCTCTCTGCCCATCTTTGTTTCTTTCTTTCTTTCTTTTTTCTTTTTTCCCTTAAATGGGAATACTTTCTAATCTTATGCATTAACATAGAGAAGAATGAACTGACTCTGAACTCTGAACAAGTGATAAAATTGATATAAAACTTTTTTTTTTTTTTTCTTTCTTTTTTTTTTCATTTTCTTTGCTACAGAAAAGGGTAGCTTCTGGGCAGGTATTAAATAGGATTACTGCAATTATTTAAGCTTATTGTTGAAATTTTTATATGGAGAGAAATAATATTTTATATTCCTTAACTTACAGGGTTCCTTGACTTATACAAAGTCTTTCCATCTTGGTGGAGACAACTTTGGACAGGCAGTGAAGCGGAGTCGTGATAACATTGATTGGCTGGTAAACAAGGGGAAGTCAATGCCAATTGACGTGGCTCAGTGGGATGCAACCAGATTGCCTCTTAGAGAACAGTGCGTTGACATTATCGTGTCCGACTTACCCTTCGGAAAACGCATTGGCAGCAAAACCGATAACCGTGTTTTATATTTTCATTCCTTGCTGGAAATGGCAAGGGTGACACGAATAAAAACAGGACGTGCAGTATTGCTTACATATGACCACAGGAGTATGATTAAAGTAAGTTGATACACATACATACATACATATATATATATATATATATATATATATATATATATATATATATATATATATATATATATATTTATTAAACTGTTGGATCTGGGTGCCTTGCACATGCACATGGTACAAAAAGTGGGCATTAGGTTTACTTGAGCGGCATCTCCCAGGGGTGTGGCTTGTAGGCCCAACTCACACAAACATTTGTGCTGGGTGTCAAGACTCTTTCCTTCCCTTTGCAATGTTATAATCTCTTTTTGCTTTTTTGTCATTTCCCAATGTCTATGTTTCTCACTTGATAAACTGTATCAAATATTTTCCATTTCATATGCTGTATCAAGATGATAATAGATTGTTTTCCTTGCATAAACTCCATATCATCTACAATGTGCAATAGCAATAACATTAAATAACATTTTGTTGTGCTGTTTTTAAATATATTCATATTAAATTTCCTGTAATACACCCTGTGCTACTGGTCGTGGTGGGCAGGAATACAACCTCAACTAGGAAAATGTCCTCCCTGGTGCCAGCTCTCTTACAGCCATGGCTCACTTATAGTACTTTCCACCCTTGATGACTAGTGTAAATAAAGTAAGAACTCTTTCATTAATGCCCTCAGAATCTAATCTTCCTCCATGTTAAGTCATTCCCATCACCCCAGCTTTCACCCCCCCCCCCCTTAATCCCTTGCTTTTTGTTGTTGTGGGGGGCTTAGGAGATGGAGAGGATCACCCCTGCCTGGACCACAGCCCTTGCCTAATTTTGCAGGGTCTGTTCCTCTCCCTCTTTCCTTTTCCTTTTCTTCTTCATCCCTTTTGTCTGTCCACTTCCTAAGGTGTGAGAGCTGTGCTGAAGGGATGAAAGGCTAGATTTTTGGCCTCCAGGAGCCATGGGCACCGTATTCCCATGGTGAACCACCTAGCCCTTACTCCTCATGGTGACCCAGAGGGGTAGACTGTTTCCTCTCCCCATTTACTTCTGGCTCACCATGGCCAGTAATGTAGATTTTTTACTCCTTATTTGGGGCATTAAGGCTTGTCCCTTCATCAAATAGCATATCTAAATTTGATTTCATTGGTTTCTCAACCCCTGTCTCTCCTTTGACCACTGATATTAATACCCCTTCCTCAGTGTTTGCTGTCAACTCTATCCATTCCAGGTCAATACTTTTTTTCAGCTTATGCACTATCTACCCTGACTGACCTCACTGGCAAACCTATTCCTGCCCACCCTCACTCCTCCCTTAATACTTGTACCAGAGTTGTTTCCATCTCTTCGACTGATTGTCCTGTCTACAATAAGGACTAGTCAGACTGTGAAGATTACTTGCTCGCATGCCTTGTTGACTATGATGCAGTGGCAGTCCAATGCTACACTGTTCCACCCAGAGGCCAATGCAAGTCCTACACTAATATTGCCAAGATCAACTTCAGTAGACATGACCTCCCCCATGTAGTTTATATTGGTGGAGTAGCCTGCTCTGTTCCACCTTATCATCCTCTTCCCATGAATGACTGATTTTTTTTTTTTTTTTTTTTTTTTTTTTTTTTTTTTTTTTTTTTTTTTTTTGGGGGGGGGGGTCTCCTAGCCAAACATTGTCACTCCACAGCACTGCCCTCTATGTACCCAACCTGGTCACAACCATCTAAATTGCTCTGCTCAGTCAAGCACATGTGCAAATTATGATGGTGCCCACAATGTATTTTATAGGAGCTGCCCAGCCAGTGAGTTCAAATCTGAGGTAGCAGTTCTCAGATTCAAACTAGGCCAGACAAGGCCGGACAAGAAGCACACTGATGATGTTTTCCTCTTTCTATCTATTCCAGAACTGTACTTTGCTCCATTCCCCTCCCATCTCAAAAAGTCTCAGTAGCTCATCCCTCTACCCAGAACTACCCTATCTCTACTCCCTTTCTCCCCAGTCAAATACCTTTTCTTGTTTAAATCCACTCTCTACCACTTCCCTGGTACCTACCTCTCCTCCTTTTCACTCTACCTATTGCACAAGACACTCTAAACATTCTACTCCATCTTCTACCACAACCTCTTCTACACCCACCTCTGTCTCTGTACCTTGGACATCAATTCCCTCTTCTCCTCCACATAAGAAAACCTTTTGTTTCTCAAACCTCCCTACCCAACTCCCCTCCAGAAACTAATGAAGACATCCAAAACTTCCTAAACATGACCCAAGAGAATGCTCCACTCCCTCATCCACCCTCTAATCCCTCTATTCCTATTCACTCTACATTCAAAGTATTTGCCGATATGCATCCTTCTCCTCAAGTTCCTTTTATGGAATAACAGTCATGTCACCTGGATCCAATGGGTCAAACATGGTTTTCATTAAATTTACAAACAGTTTCACTTAGAAACTGGATTAAATAGGTTTTTCCACTGAAAAATAGAACAGTTGTAAAGTTTCGGATTAGCTCTTTATATTAATATTTGAGAAAAAGTGCAGCAACAGCACCTGCCATAAGCAGTTTTTATATAAAATAACCAGTTAATAAAATATCCCTATGAAGTAAACTGACACCAATATTTTACTTCCAGAATATAAAACGAGTTCACACCCTGTGGAAGAGTGGTGCCTCAAGAACTGTCAATGTTGGTGGATTATCAGCTGTTATTTACATACTGCATCGTACCTCCCTGCTTTGTGACACAGGGCTCAGGAAGGATACAAAGTATAAAGAAAAAAAGTCTCCAGGTAGTCCAGGTGGAAGTGCTACAAATTAACTGTACTAATAGTATGCAAATCAGATAGATTTTGTGATACTGAATATCAGTAAAAATGTTTTATATCATTTTCAGTTTTACTTACAATTCATACCCTATAAAACATCAATATTGAGGAACACTGTTTACGCTTTAAGGTTATGAAAAATAACTGTACTTAACCCCTTGGTGCCGGGTGACGCCGATCGGCGTGTACACAAAGAGCTCGAAAGCTGGCATGCAGCCGAACGAGCCGGCGGCGAGCCAGTGATTCAAGCTGATGTCCCCAACTCACGCGCTCAAAGTCGGAGCGCCGCCTATGTTTGTTTAAGCGTAGAGTTTTTTTTTTTCTTTTGTACACCCGGCGCCATTGGGTTAAGTATAACAATCCACTTGATATTATTCCAGTTTATTTCTTGCCGATATAAAGAAATATAATAGTCTGTAAAAGAAATTGGTATAAAAATATATATGTGACCTGCAAGTCCTTTTTTTTTTGCTAAAAAGATTATAAATGAACCAAACAGTAATCAAAATACAATTTAGGGGAAAACAAAAAAGTTATTCACAATGTGAACTATATCATGTCATGAATACAAAAAGTCGGATGTATCGCCTATGGCCTACAGTATATCAAGTATTTCATATTCTCTATTACAAATACGAAATTTGTCACTCCTAAACATACTTTA